GTGCAGCTCACCTACCACGTCGGCGAGGGACCCGGGGTGAGTGTCCCCTCCCCGCGCCCCTCCTCCGGCCAGCCCTGGTCCAGACGCCCACAGCCCCTCCTGTCGCTCCCGCCTGTCCTCCAGACGCCCCCTGTGCCCCGTCACCGCACCGCCATCCCTGGCCCGCCTGCGCCCCAGGAGCCCACCGCACGCTCCCGGCTCCCTGGACCGCGCAGGTTCAGGAAGTGAGCTTAGGGGCTGTCCCTGCCCGGCCCGGTGGTGAGCCTCTTCCTTCTGCTCTGCGGAGGCCCTGCCGGCGCGGGCTCGTTGCCCTGTGCTGACTCAGCCCTTTGTTCCAGGTGCCCTACCAGGGCGTTGGGCTGAGACAGCTCTGAAACCGGCCAGTTAGTGCGTCCTCTCACGAAGTCCTGGCTTTGGTGCACAGAAGGATTTGAGTAAAAGTGAGACCTGGAATTAGGCTTCTTGGCTTTGTCACTGCTGGTTGACTCTTAAGTCTTAATCGGGAGGAAATCAGAAGGGAAAAGATGTGCCCGCGTCCCTGAGAGTCGCAGAGTCCTCACGAGAGGCCTGGCGCAGCTGCCAGTCCTTTCCTGGGTAGGGTGGGCTCCGAGGCTCACAGCTGGTGCCTGCCTACTCTTGGCATTTGTTGCTCTGGTAGCATTTCCCCTTTTGCTGTTGGAACTTGCTCAAGAGGGCAGTTCTGTTTCCGTCTCTCACCATTCTGGAAATAAAGGAACCACAAAGGAAAAACCCAGGGACCACTAGGGAGACATGACATCTGGGACCGTGTTTGCTCTGTTATGTTCTGGTTCCTGGTTTGAGGCAGAGATTAAATAGGATAACTGGAAAATTTTGAAGAAATATCCAAACTACATAGCTTTTTGAAATATATATATTTTTAAGTTTATTTATTTTTCGTGGAGGTACTGGGGATTGAACCCAGGACGTCATGCACACATTTCTACCACTGAGCTATACCCTCCCTGCCACCTTGCCCCAAACTGCATAGCTTTCCTTTCAGACATGATGGCAGAGATCCACGCTTGACAAAGCACTGCCCTTCGCCCTGTGCAGGTCTCCACTGACGGCCTTGCACCTGCTCCTTCTCGTTGCCACCATCCTACTGAGGGCGCTCACCTCCACCCAGACATGGACTCTGTAGTGTATGTCCCGCTAGCCTCCTCCAGACTAAAACAAAAACAGACAGAACTCAAGCAGAGATGATGAGTAAGGAGTCATGGTGGAGGGGATGGTGGTCAGTCTTTATGGACATGAGTCTGACAGAAGTTACAGGAGCTGTCTTTGTTCTGTCTAATGCAGAGCCTGGCACCTCGTGGGGTTCTGCAAGTGTTCACTTTTATTGCCAGCTTGCTACAGTCTTTGCCATTAATAGGATTAAAAGTAAATTTTTTTCAGGGGGAGGTAATTAAGTTTACTTATTTATTTATTTAATGGAGGCATTGGGGATTGAACTCACGACCTCATGCATGCTAAGCATGTGCTCTACCACTGAGCTGGACCCTCCACACTAGGATTTTCTTTTTTTTTTTTTTAATTTTTTATTGATTCACAATTACCCCACGGTGTTGTGTCAAATTCCAGCAGGATTCTTTTTTAAGAGAAAAACTGAGCAGGTAGTACAGAGTTCCCCAAGCCCCCTCCACACACAGTTTCTGCTTGGTTAGTTTTACAGTAGGATGCATTTCTTACAGTTGTCGGGCCAGTTTTGATACCTTGGTATTAACTAGAGTCTACAGTGTCTTTGGATTTCCTTAGTTTTTAACTAGTGTCTTTCTGCACCCAGATCCTGTCCAGAAGTCCACAGGCCGTTCAGCCACCACGTGTCCTCGGGCTCCTCTTGGCTGTGGCGGCTTCTCAAACCTCCCTGTGTGGGTGACCTTGGTAGTTTCAAGGAGTGGGGTGCCCCTCTTTTGGAATTTGCCTGATGTTTTTCTTGTGATTAGATATGGGGTTATGGGGTTGGTTGGTTGGTTTGTAATAGACTATTTTTTAGAGCAGTTTTGGTTTCCCAGCAAAATTGAATGGAAGTTCGCAGAGATAAGGGCCATTTTTGTAATGTCGTGTTGAGGGCTCGTAGTGTCAGTGTGACTTGTGATGGCTGTGTTGACCTCTGGCCACCTGGCTGAGGCAGGGCTTGTTGGGTTTCTCCACTGAGATGTTACTCTCTCTCCCCATCTTTCCGTCTGTACTGGACTCTGGAAGGAGACACACACACACACACACACACGACCAGAGAAAAACCCAGCATCCCAGTGTGCCTCCCTTATGCTTCTTAAAAATCAGTCTCAGATGTCTCTGTGTTCAGAGTCCTTCATCCCACCTGTCCAGGTGCACCTCCCACCTCCGTATGGGGCCACATCCCTCCTCGCCTTCCTCACGATGCTGCCCGCCTCCTGGAGGACGTCCTCTGCCTTCCTGTCCAGCCACCTCAGTCCTGTCCACTTTCCAAGGCCCAGCCAGGGAGTTTTGCTTCCCTTGAGACCCTCCTGGAATCCTCTGACTCTTCTCCAAACTCTAGACAGCATGTGGGGCTGACATATATCCTCACCCCCACAGTTGTGTCTGTTCTCCAGGGGAACTCCTTTTCGCCATTGGCAGAATTTGGGTACCTGAGAGTCTCCCGTCCAGCCAGCGCCTCCCTCCAGCTGCACTGGGCTCATGCAGGTGTCGATCTGAATGTTCTCGCCTCCTCTCAGGTTTGCTGGTTGGCCCCAGAGCAGACGGCAGGAAAGAAGCCCTTCGTCTACACCCAGGGTCAGGCCGTCCTGAACCGTGCCTTCTTTCCTTGCTTCGACACCCCTGCAGTGAAGTTCAGATACTCTGCTCTTGTGGAGGTGAGGGGCCGAGGGCAGGTGTCCCTGCCCCTGGGATTGAAATGATCGTTTCAGACCTGCCGGGCCTCATTTCAGTTAGTAGTGTACTCCCTGCCCAGGGGGCCTCTAGGAACCTCCTCCACCTGCAGAAATTGTATCTGTGCTCAGTCCCATCAGGTTAGCACAAGTTCAGTTTCATGAAGCCTTCGTGCTTCCCAAGGTGGACTGCAGGTCACCATCAGCACCACGCAGGTGGCGGACCTTCTGCCCTTCCAGCTCAGCAAAAGCAGACTCTGTCCAGGTGAGGTTGCCTAAGGTTTCTCTGTTGTCAGGTCCCAGACGGCTTCACCGCTGTGATGAGTGCTAACACCTGGGAGGAGAGAGGTCCAAATAAGTTCTTCTTCCAGATGTGTCATCCCATCCCCTCCTACCTGGTAGCTCTGGCCGTTGGAGATCTGGTTTCGGCCGATGTTGGACCCAGGTAGGAGACCAGGCCCCTGCAGGCAAGACTGGACTGCCCTCCGAGGCACAGAGGTCTCTGACTGGCCCCTGGACCTGCCGGGGTGGTTCTCGGGGTGGTGGGAGCCTCCCGAGCCCAGGGCCTTTGTGTGGCACAGCACGCCCTCCCCTGTAGTCCCCGTGCCCCCCCAGCCCTGTTCTCACCCTGCGTCTGTGCTGAGCAGGCTCTCCTGGGCCATCTCGCAGAGGCAGATTGGAGCTCGGGCAGTAGTTCAGGAGAGCGACCTTTGTTGGTACCTTTAAGTTCTAAATCACCTTCTAGCAACCATATTTGTTTTTTTTGTGTTTGAACCAAATCTCATTTTCTCTGGCACATAATTCCTAGAACACGTGGCCTTGACTTCACGGTCTGCCTGGACAGGAGCGTGGTAGCTCCCATCCCTCTGCCCCGATGCAGAAGCCTGAGCCTGTGGTGACAGGTCCCTCACTGCAGCGGGGGATGGGGTTAGCAGAGATAAATAAGGATTTTTTAAGGTTTCCCAAGAAGAGAAATTTGACCAGGAGTGCAGCTGTTTCCCACTGTTGTCTTTTTTTTTTAGCTAATAGACTTTATTTTTTAGAGCAGTTTCAGGTTCATAGCAGAATTGAGCAGAAGATACAGAGTGCACATAGCCCTCCCCACCCACACATGTATACTCCCCACCCTCAGCATCGCTCATCTGTGTGGCACGTTTGGTACAGTCGCTGAACCAACACGGGCACGTTCTTATCGACCAAAGTCCACAGTTCACATTAGGCCCACTGTTGTCTTCTCTCCCCGCGTAACCTGGTATAAACAGGAAGCTGTCCTCCCCCCCAGGCTCTGCGCTCCCGGACACACAGGGTCTGTTGCCAGCCTCTGGCTTTGAGCCAGGCGTAGCAGCATCCCCTGCATCGTGGTCCTCTGTCCGCGGGTCAGAGAGTGATCAGTGTGGCTGCGGTGGTGTCTGCTTCCAGCCACACACTCAGAAGAGAGCCAGTCTGGAGAGAGAAGGTCCCTTTCCTGGTGGACAGGGTATAGGTGCCCAGAGGCACGTCAGCTGCCAGGAAACTGGACAAGCAGAGGAATGATCTTAGGGTGCTTACTCTTGCTACGGTTCTATGAGTAACAGGATGAGCTCCTGGTGGAAATGAGGGAGCAGTGGTTTCTGAACACACCAGGCCACCGCACTTTATTTGAACCCTCTGTGCGAAAGTGAAGACAGTAGGTCAATCCAGGGACAGAACCTGGGTAACGGGCCCGATGGCCTACCCCTTCCCCTGTCAGGTGGACGGTCCTCGCCCCCCGGGTGGGTCACATCGTAGGGTCTTATGGGGGTTTGTGAAGCAGGAGGGTCTCCTGGCAAAGCAGGCCCCCAGTTTCAGTCCCTGTTGCCACAGGAGGAGAATTCTGGGAGAAGAGATGGGTGGACGTTCCCCACCGGCCTCCTGTATGTTACCTTTTCTAATCCTCACAAAGCCGTGGGAGGTGCTGTCTCCAGTTTGCAGATGAGCAGACAGAGGCTTTGGTGAGAAGGTGTGAGCACCACCACAGGGCTGGTGGGACTGGGATTCAGATTCCAGGGTTTCTCCTGCAAACCCAGTGCTTTTTGCCGTAGAATCCTGGCGGTGAGATTCCAGGCTGACTGTGTGTGTACTAATTGCTTCTGACGGCATCCATGTTCTGGGGGGGTGGTCTGGGTCCCCGCTTGCCCGGCCTTGATGCTCTCGCTGCCGACGGCCGGCACGCAGGGCCGGGGACTTGGCTAACTGCGGGCCCGCGGGTGGCGGTGCGGCTCGCTGGGCGGCTCCCACAGGCCTGCTCCGGCGCCCTTCCTCCACGCAGACCTCCCGGGTTCGGGCTGGCCTGGGCCTTCTCCACCCCCACCTCCTCCCCCGACTCACGCCGGGTCCCAGGGCTGGGACACGGGCGTCGCGTCGCTGAGGACTGGGCTGGATCAGGAACTCGCGACAGCTTGGCCCTGCAGCCCTCTGACCCCCTGCTGGCCTCTGCCCTGGGGCAGCCCCACTCCCACCAGCTCCCCGTCCCCGCCCCTCACGCCCTGGGCAGCCGGCCTCTCCTGCCCGGCTTCCGTCCTGCCCAGGCGTGACTGCTCATCTCTCAGCGACGCCCAGGCCCCGTGCTGTGTCCTGCTGTGCGTCTGGCCGGGGTCCTGCAGCCCCCTCCCCGCTCTGCGCCGGGGCGTTGGAGAGAGGGAGACTGCGCACGCCCTGGGACGGAAGGGCAGGCAGCAGAGACGCTGGAGAGGTTTCCGAGGGGCACGCGGCAGACGCAGTCTTCACCTCACCCTGCTCCGTGGCTCAGCAGGCCTCCCACCTCCCTAAACGGAGACTTGACCCAGGTCCTCAGGGCTCCGGTTCCGACCCCGGCCCACACGCCAGGCGGCTGGTCTTGTCTCTGCTCTGTTGGGACCTTCAATCTGTTAGGGGCGATTGTGTCCTGCACGCCCAAGGTCCCCGCAGTCTGCTCTTGTCCTCCCTTCCCTCTGGATTCTGATGAGGGCCCTTCCTTCCTTCTGTTCGGGGCAAATTTTTTCATCTGAGCTGTTGATCAACCATCACTTACCCTCCATTCAAACCTGCAGCCCAACTGCCTCTTCCCTTTCAGCCCCCGAGCATGACGTCTCGTAGCTCTGAAAAAAAGCACAAAACACACCCAAAACCTCACTGAGCCCACGTTCCGCTCTGGCCTGTACTCACCCCCTCTCCCCACTTCCACCCATTGGAGTCCAGCCCCCTGCCTCACTGACTCTCCTGGACTGAGGGCATATGGACGCCTGGTGGACACAGGACAGCCCTTCTGCCCTGCGCCTCACCTGCCTCTGTCCACCTACCTCTGCCTCCGTGATGCGGCCGTCCTGGTTGTGGTCTCCTTGCGGGTCTCCTCCGCCCACCCCCGAGTGTGGGTGCCCCATGGGGCCTGCCCTCGCCCCCCTGCTTGTCCTGGGGAAGCTCACGCCCTGTTGTCGTTGGCCTGGTTTCTGTGTCCTGCGGCCACAGTGATCACCCCCGAATGTGTCACACAGCACTTGAAGCCCTGTGTGACCCGAGCTTGTTGGCCTCTCCCACCCCCAGCCCGCCTTTCCCTCAACCCATCTTCCCGTGTCCTGGTCTCGCACCAGCCCGCCTTGCCGTCTGTCCCTCGATTAGGAATGTCCATGTGAGGAGCGGTCCACTGAGCATCTGGGGCCTTGGCTGGACGTGGGCTTCGGCTGCAGGGCCCGGAGTCCGCGGGTGGTCTTGGTCCCTCCCGTCCCCTTTCAGCCTTGACTTTGCTTCGGACTGGACCCTCTTCATTCCTCCCACCCCTTACCTTTGCTTTCTCATCTTTTTGCTCTGGAAATATCATGATTAACTTTTTTTAATGGAGGCACTGGGGATTGAACCCAGGACCTCATGCACGCTAAGCACACACTCTAACATGGAGCTGTTCCCAACCCCCTCTCATAATTGAACATTTCTGATCGGAAGTTGGGAGAGTGATGCACTGAGTACCTGTCTGCCCGGCCACGTTGCCGGAGTAGTTCCAGCTTTGTGTGCGTTTGCTTTTGTTTCGCTGGACCGTTCGGTGAACCAGCCTGCTTCTCCAAGGAGCGAGGCACTCTCCCTCATGGCCGCAGGACCACCGGGCGCCTGAGACAGTCAACGCTTTTCCATCAGCATTAACTGGATTTTCTCTAAAGTTTCTTTCAGTTCCAGAGGTTAGGTCGTGAAAGTCTTTTCACATTGCGGGGAAGTGAGGTAAACCGGTGTCTCCTCCGCCAGCCACTGTGGGAAGCAGGGCTTCCACACCCTCCTCCTCTCTTCACCGTGCCTCCCACAGATGAGGAGACTGAGGCCTGGAGGGCTGCGTAGCTTTTGCAAGGCTGCGGTCAGTGTTGGTGTCGTAGGGCAGGCAGGCCACCGCCCTGGGCTGGCCTAGGGTCCTCTGGCCCCTCAGGTGTAGTGCACTCTCCGGGTCGGTGTGGGTGGCTGGCCTCTCCTGTCCCCGGGGCTGGCCGCAGTTTCACGGTCGTCGGCCTGGTGTGAGATGGAGGCCAGTTTCTGCAGGTGCTGCGGGGCTGGTCCCCGCCATGAGCACAGCACCCCTTCTCTGCGCCCTCGTGTCCAGGAGCCGGGTGTGGGCCGAGCCCTGCCTCATCGCGGCCGCCAAGGCGGAGTACGACGGGGTGATAGAGGAGTTTTTGGCAACGGGAGAGAAGCTTTTCGGACCCTACGTTTGGGGCAGGTGTGGTGTCACATGGATCTGATGTCTCTGTGGTTGAACTGAGCGGCTCCCCCATGCTGGGCAGGGCCAGGGAGGGGGAGGAGACAATCCAGGCCCTGCTGGTGGAGTTGTGGTCCGGGAGGGGCTCGGGGAGGCGGGCTGTGGGTGTGGGGAAGGTGCCTGGGGTTTGCTGTTGGGGGGTTGGCTGATGTGACCTCCCGCTGCAGGAACAGCCCCACACCCCGTTCCCTCTCTGCCATCTTCCGACCCGAGGTCCCCAAGGCCCTACTGGGCCCCAGGGAGCCGGGGTGACAGGGCTGACCACGTCCCCATTGAGCAGGCCGGGCCCACGCCCTGGGCGGAGGCGGGGTGGCCCTGGAGCTGCCCGTGACCTCCCATGACCTCCCGCTCCGGCAGGTATGATGTGCTCTTCATGCCCCCGTCTTTCCCATTTGGGGGCATGGAGAACCCCTGCCTGACCTTCGTCACCCCCTGCCTGCTGGCGGGCGACCGCTCCCTGGCCGATGTCATCATCCATGAGGTGTCCCACAGCTGGTTCGGGAACCTGGTCACCAACGCCAACTGGGGGGAGTTCTGGCTGAATGAGGGCTTCACCATGTACGCCCAGAGGAGGATCTCCACCACCCTCTTTGGTGAGCCCCTCCTCGGACCTGCCTCCCACCCCCGGCCTGCGAGGCTGGCACCGTCTCCTTGTGGGGTTTGGGGGTCCGCGTGGGCACGGAGGGAGGCGGTGGGAGTGCAGAGAGCTGGGGGAGAGGCCCGGGGCTGACTCGAGACCGAAGTTCTGCCTGAACGGATCCCCCTGACTGCCTGTCACTGGTCAGGGGAGCTGTGGGGAGAGGGCAGCCCAAAGTGGACAGTTGTCTCCAGGAACAGCGGGGAAGGTGCCTCTGTGGTGCTGAAGCCACTGGGTGCCCTGTTCTCCCTCAACAGCCGACACCCGGCCAAGCCGCCGGGCTGTTCACCTGGACGCTGGCTCATTCTGTGAGTGATCCCGGGAGCGCTGTGAGCCTTCCCCGCCACGGGCACCTGTGTGCCCGCTGCTTGCCGACTCTGTGGCAGCCGTGGGGAGCGGGTCTAGCTGCTTCTGTTAACACGCGGCTCACCGTGACTCTAAGAAGCGCGCCCCAGCTGCGGGGCAGGTGAGGACACAACTCAGGTTGAGCCCAGCTCAGCCTCACCGCCGTCTCGACTGCAAACCCACCGCGTGTCAGGTGCTTTAGCAACGTGGCAGCTGTAGTCTCTGATTTCTCTGCCCCACATGGAAAAGGGCACACAGAACACTGACCTGTAACCTTACCATGCAGAGATAGTCAGTGGATGTCCCTTCAGACGTTCCGTGTTTGTGAATCATCAGACCATACACGGTTTTACAACTGCCTTTTCTCCCGAACTTAATGAAGTTGGACGTTTCCCCAGGTCATTACGTTCTCTTCTGCAGCTGCGAAGCATGGACACTTTGTATTTATTCGCTCTCCAGTTGTTAGGTTGTGTTCAGTTTTCCGATGAAATAGTGTTCAGACAAACATCTTTATGTTCGTCTTAGGCTATTTCAATAAAGAGAAATTCCTAGAAACATATGTCAGGACCCGAACACTTCAAAGGCTTTTTGGCACACGTTGTCTCTGCTTCCCAGGAAGTGTGTCGAGATGTCTCGCTCCAGCCAGAGCCCTTGTGAGTGTCTGAGGCAGCCGCCGAGAGTCCTGCAGGCAGATGTTTCTGTCCACTGTGCAGATGAGGGAACCGAGGCTGAGCGGGGTCAGGTCGCTTGCCCAGAGTCAGGGCCTCTTGAGAGCGATGGTGGCTGGTTCACGTCTGTCCCCTCCCCTCGCCGCCCCCTCAGTGACTATTAGAGCTGGAGGGAGGCGGCCCGGGAGAGTCTTGGCTGACGTTTCTCCAGTCTGAGAGGAAGTCGGGGTAAACATTCCGCTTGTGGAAGATCAGTTACCGTCTCTAAAAAGGAGAACACGTTGCTGGGGAAGGCCGCAGTCGGAGGGAGAGGTGTGGTGGGGGAGCCTGGGCCCCACCTGCCCACCCGTGGTCCCCACTTCTCAGGGCCACGCAGGAGGACGTTCCTGGGGTGGCACCAGCCGCTGTCTCCTGTGCAGGGGCCGCGTACACCTGCTTGGAAGCCGCGACGGGGCGGGCTCTGCTTCGGCAGCACATGGACCTAACGGGCGAGGACCACCCACTGAACAAGCTGCGGGTGAAGATAGAGCCAGGTGGGTTGGGGTGGGGCCCCCGTCAGGTTCAGCTTCTCATGTGCTCTGAGCACACGGATGCTGGCCTTCGAGGGAGGAGCCCCTGCAGTGACTCCGCGGGTCTGGGTCCCCGTCCCTCTTGGGCTGTTTCCGCCCCACTCCCGCCGTCCCGTTATCCTTACTGGGCGGAGGGGTGACTGAGCGCCAGAAGAGCTCAGTGACTTGTCCGAGGTCATGAATTTCTGTTTCCTAACATTTTTTTGTTAGTTCCATGTGTGACTGACTTAAATGTTTTTGTGCAGTTGAAGCTCACGTGCCGGGCTCTGCCGACTCTGAGCGGGAACTTCTTTCTCATAGGCGGGTGGTTGGTGGGTGTTGGTCTAGAACGCCTGTAGAACCCCCGCGGCTCCAGGAGGGCGGCTGCGCGTCCGTGAGACCAGCGGGGCTGGAGGAGGCGCAGGGCCAAAGGAGCCCACCGAGCACAGCGCCCTCGGGGATGAGGGAACCCGCCGGGGCCCCGGGGCTGCCTTCTCCGTCTCGAAGGACCTGGAGCGAAGCCCAGCTGGGTCTGGAGACTTCCCTGGCCTCGCTGTCCCCTCGCTATCCCTGGGAAGCAGAGCTCCCGGCTCTCCTGAGGCTGCTCTTTGCATCTGGATCTCTCCCTGCAGGTGTTGACCCGGACGATACGTACAATGAGACCCCCTATGAGAAAGGCTTCTGCTTCGTCTCCTACCTGGCCCACCTGGTGGGCGACCAGGGCCAGTTTGACAGCTTCCTCAAGGTGCAGTCAGCTCAGAGGGGAGGGGAGCAGGGGGGAGGAGGGGCCTGCGGACCGGGCGCCTGAACACGCCTCCCTCCTCACAGGCCTACGTGGATGAATTTAAATTCCAAAGTATCTTAGCCGATGACTTTCTTGAGTTCTACTTGGAATATTTCCCTGAGCTGAAGAAAAAGGGGGTGGATTCCATCCCAGGTGAGCAGAGGACCTGGCTTGTAGGTTATCGCCAAGGGAGGGTCTGACTCACACTTGGGGAGACCTGGTGCCAAGGGTGGGGGTCTGGGCAGTGGCACTTTGGGGCCAGCGTGGGTCTTGGGCTCTGTTCGACACGAAGAGCTTTGCTCACCTCTTCCACTCCCGTCTCTGGACGCACGTGGTCGGTGTGTCCCTGTGCTTCCTGAGGGAGGCTGGAGCGCGTCCTGTCCTGGGCCGCTCCGTGGTTGGCTTGCCCGTTGGCTCCCCAGCCGCCTGGGGTCGGGCCAGCCTGCTGGCACTGCCCTCTGGTTGTAGGGTGTGGGTCTGCAGCTCGTGACATGTAAGTTGCGAGGCCGTGTGCTAAACTCTTACTGTGCGTTTGATCCTCACAACTGCCAGCCACGCCAGGGCCTCTCACCCCGAGGCACAGAGAGGGCCATAACGTGCGCACGGCCCCCAGCTGGTCGGGCAGAGCAGGGGCAGGACCCCAGGCCGCGGGGCCTGGAGCCCAGGGGCACTGGCACCGGGTGGTTCCGGGCATCAGAGCTGGGCCGCACCCATGCCGTGGTCCTGATGCACCAAAATGACTGGGGGCCCAGGACACCCTCACAGTGGAAGGGGCAGTGGGGTCCACTGGGACAGTGTGGGCATCGCTGTAAGCAGGGCCCCGCAGAGCGGGTGGCTGTGTAGGAAGCGGTGTAAGTTCTAGAGGGAGCCTTTGGGATGTGGAGAGGCAGGCAGAGGGTGAGGTCCTGGGAGCTGCTGGGGTGAGCTGCCCTGGAGCTGCCGGGAACTCTGGCCTCTCTCCCCTCCTGCCAAACAGGGCTTGAGTTTGATCACTGGCTGAACACCCCGGGCTGGCCCCCCTACCTCCCTGACCTCTCTCCCGGGGACTCCCTCATGAGGCCGGCTGACGAGCTGGCCCAGCTGTGGGCGACCGCGGAGCTAGACCAGAGGGCCATCGACGCTGTGTCCATCTCTGCCTGGAAGACCTACCAGCTGGTTTACTTCCTGGATAAGGTTCTCCAGAAGTCCCCTCTCCCCGCCGGTGAGAAAGAGTGGATTGTTTCTTCAGCGGTGAATCGGGCCCCTGGCATGCGCAGCTTTACGTCAGGCGCTGGAGGGAGACAGGCGCCTCCGCAGGTGGCTGTGGGTGGGAGTGGGGGGTGGGCAGAGGTCCTCGGCAAGGAGCGTGTCCGAGCAGGGAGGGTGTAGCTCAGCGGTAGAGTGCGTGCTTAGCATGTTCGAGGTCCTGGGCTCAACCCCCAGTTCTTCTGTAAAGAGGGAAGACGCCCTCAGCTTCTGCAGCTGGTCCTTCTAGGTGCCGCGTGTCTGCTACGGCACGTGACCCTTGTGACCACTCTGGGTGCTGTGACCGTGACCCCCGGGCTGGAGGGTGAGCCCAGACACAGACCACGCAGCCAGCAGCTGTGGGGCTGGGGCCTGGAGCCTGGAGCCACTTGGCTGAAGCTCTTAAACACTAACGCTCACTTCTGCTCCACCAGAAGTAATACTCACCAAGGAGTGAATTCTAAAAAACGGTTAGAAAAACCAAGGTGATTTTCAGCAGGTTGCTGGTGGGAGGAAAATTGGGGCAGGATATTTTAGAGGGACACACGAGCTTTAATCTGGGAAGGAAGACGGGTGATGGCAGAAGATACGTAGTAACACGAAGGGAAGTTTGGTGGAAGAACCTGAGGAATCACGGCAAGTGTGGGACAAGGTCACCGTTTCAGGCGCAAAGAGGCGAGTCGGGTGGGTGGTCGGAAGCCTCCTTGAAGTTTCTGCTGGTGCCCTCGGAGGGCCTTGGGCGGACACCGGCCTTCTCAGCTTTGCCAGGAAGTCGTTAATGACCTGTTTCTTTTCTCCAGGGAATGTGAAAAGACTTGGAGAGACATATGCAAAGGTCTCAAATTCCCAGAACGCAGAGCTCCGGCTGCGGTGGGGCCAGATTGTCCTTAAGAACGACTACCAGGAGGATTTCTGGAAAGTGAAGGAATTCCTGCAGAGCCAGGTGGGTGCCCCCACCTACGGGTCCCCCTGGGCACATGGCGGGGAGCAGTGGTCCTGTGGGTGGGGCTGCCCTAGGGGAGAGGAGCCGCAGCCTGGGAACTTTCTGCAGATCAGCTGGCGAGGCCCGAGGGGAAAGAGCCGGTCGGTGCTGACCCGAGGCTGGGAGGGCGGGAGAGGGAGGGTCATGGGTGAGCGGTGCTGGTCTCTGGGGAGAGGGTGCTGGTCTCTGGGGAGAGGCCGGGACAAGCTGAATGCAGGGGAGATTACAGGCTCCTGCTCCTGGGGAGGGGCCCGCCCGGCTCTCCGGATGAGCATCCAGAGATTCCAGAGCAGGGTGGGAGCCGGGCCGCGGACAAAGCGGCGTTCAGATTCCCACACTTGCTCGCAGGCACCTGTTCACAGGTCTCCTCCAGCCTCTGGGGGTTAGGACCTTATGGGGTGGCTGTGCAAACGTGTGGATTTTCCAGTGCTTGGCTGCCGCAGGACCTCATGCGGTCCTGTGTTGGGGGCTGTGGCCTCTCCTGCGTGCTGTTGACTTGCTGGCTGACCACTTACAGCTTTCTGAGAGTTTGGGGTCTCTCCCACGTGCCAAGCCCCCAAACTGGTTTTGTCGAGCATAGACCTTCCCAGGCAGGGGGGGTGCCGAGACGTCCATGCGGGTCTTTGGCCTCCAAGGAGATCCCAGGACGCTGGTCTTCGCGTCTGGGACGCTCCTTGCTCCAGCGCTGGCACCCGTATCCCTTTTGGCACGTGACCACGACGGTCCAGGAGCGCAGTGCTGGGGCACAGACCCTGGGTGGGCTGACGGCTGTGCGCGCCTCTTGCAGGGGAAGCAGAAGTACACCCTCCCGCTGTACCACGCCATGATGCGGGGCAGCGAGGCCGCCCGGGCCCTGGCCAAGGAGACCTTTGCTGCCACTGCCTCCCAGCTCCACAGCAACGTGGTCCACTACGTGCAGCAGATCGTGGCGCCCACGGGCACTTAGAGGCCCCCGCGACGGCCTCTGCCTCGGCTGACTTGGCAGCTCCGCAGCCATAGCTCCCAGTGCCGGGTCTCGCCAGCTTCGCGAGTTCACAGCCCCAGGATAGGCAGCCTGTTCCCTGGGCCTCTGCTCCGACCTGAGACCAGGGGACCGCATAGGGCAGTTCCCTCGGGCAGGCCCAGCCGCTGGCGCTGGCAGGGGCCGTCTCCCCCCCACCTGGGTCTCAGGAGGAGCAAGAAGGATTTTCTTTTCTTTTTGCTGATTCTCTCAGTACTGTGCAAAGCGCTGCATTCCTTTTTGAGGTTTAATCATGATTTTAATAAATATTTTTGAGTGAAAAGTCTTTAAGTGACTGTGAACTTCGTTCTCCTGGGTTCCCCTCTGCTGGCCAGTGTTCTGAGCAGGTCGGTGGGAAAGACCCAGAGGATGGTGGTGTCTCCGTGTTCTAGGGAGCAGGGGGCTGGAGGAGGTGGGGTCCCACCCGCGCACGTGCACATGAGGAGCAGTGCGGGTCAGGCAGGCTTTGCGGGGAGAGCACACAGGAGCTGTGCCTGTGCTCTCGAGACGCTCAGCCTGCAGCCCTGCACCCCTTCCTTCTCCCTTCGCTGCAAATAAACTGCCTTGGCTCTCAGCATCCCTGCGGCTTCCCCAGTCCCCACCCAGGTCCTGGGTGATTGTCAGTCGTGTGGGGAGACAGAGTCTGCTCAGAACTTGGCCTCAAGTTCTGATTTCCTGGTTTCCACATGGGGACCTAAGCGTTCAACACGAGTGTAGGGTGTGGAGTGAGGGGGTGCTGCAAAGTACGTAAATGTATTTCAGTTGCTTTTCCTAAACATGGGGCACCTGGAACCAGTCCCCCTTGTGCTCTGTTTCAAGGTGGTCAGCACAGGTCTCCCCTCCCCTGCACAGGGTCTGGGAGCGAGGACCCCATGGCAGGTGGTGGGCGTCCCCAGCACAGAGGGCCCTGGGACACTGACAGCAAACCATCTCTGTGGCTCGTCGGGGCTGCTCCCCGCTACGGGATATAGGCAAGGACTGTTCAGGGCTGTCTGGACAGTTCCCTGCTGCCTACTGGGCATCCTTTCTGATTCTGTATTGGCCAGGCTGTGCAGAGGAGCCCAGCAGCAGTGAAGGGGCCACTGTGGGAGCCCTTCCTCTGCGGGAACCTGGAGTCTAGTTTCACAGCTGGGGGTCCTGAGCGGTGCCGCCTGCCCACTCACCACCGGTGTCACCCGACAGTCCTGTGCCACTGTGGGAGGGGGTCCTGGGAGCCCCGCCTCCTTCCCCCCTCACCCCAAGGCCCTGACCTCAGGCTCCCCCGACCTGCTGCACTGATCCCTGGAGGAGAGGCAGGCCCCAGGGGAGCCCTTCTCCGCCCCACCTGCCCCGCGAGGCCCCGCAAAGCCAGGCTGCTGCCAGCCTTTCTCCCGGTCCTCTCCGCGTCCCTCTCCCCCTGCCCGGCCTCAGCCAGGCACTCTCCGCAGGCCAGGGAGCACGTGAGTTGTCCCAGGGCTGGACCGGTTCTCCCGCATTCCAGGGCGAGGGGCTGGGCAGAGGGCGGCGCCGAGGGCCCAGGGGAAGGGGCCCTGGACTGGGTGCCCTCTGCAGAGCACCCAGCAACCTCAGAGACTGCGGAGGGTTAAAGGAAGGGGGCTCTGGGTGGGGTCATCTTTCACTCAGGAGGCTGAGTATGGCCAGGGGCCCAGGACTGCGGCATGAACGAAGAGGGCAGGGAAAGAGAAGGTCAGACCCTGCGTCTTTGATGCGTTAAAAAAAACGGATCTGGAAGCGATCTGGGGGACAGTTAAATCCAGCCAGCCTTGTCTTCAGGGAGGGAAGCTGAAGAGACCCCAGGATCCGTCTCCACTGCCCTGGGCCACCCACACACAGGGTCTCCTGGTCTCAAGGGCACGTCCTTGCGTTTGGTGCTGAGTTCACAGAGAGGACCCGGCAGGGAGGGTCCCCTTGCCCGTAGGGAGGGCGAGGGCTCTGGAGACACAGGAGGGACTTCCGTCTCAGCCCCACCACTTAACTAGCTCCTTGTGGCCGGGGCGAGTCACTCAGCTCCTCACCTGTGAGATGGGGAAAGCCACACATTCCCGGCAGGTTCTGGTGAGGGTCAGGCGGAGACCTTGCTTCTGACCGCTAGAGGGCAGCAGGCAGGTGCTGGTGGAGACTAGATGAGGCCAGACATGGGGGAAAACACATCTACGTGGGTTGCATCCCAGCCAGTAGCCCTGGCATGGGGGGCTTCCTCGGGGCTGGGAAGGACTTCTGAGCAGAGCCAGGTTGCCCCAGAGGTGGCTGCAGAACCATGATGCTTGGATGGCGTCCGGCAGGCAAAGAATGCTGGGACCTTGCCAGCAAAGTAGATGCCAGCAGTGGGCCCTGTAGCTTGGGACACGGGGGCCCTGGCGACGCTGGCAGGCCGCTCCCACCCAGCAGCCCAGGTGTCCAGAGCCCCGTTTGGCCTGAATCCTGGGGTGGGAAAATCCCCAAACCTCCATGTCCTCTCTCTGCGGGGCCCCTCGTCCTCACACCTGCAGGCCCATGGGGGCCAGTAGCTTCCCTGACCCAGTTCTGACCCAGATCCCCACCTGCCCTCCCCGCAGCAGCCCATCCCTGGCCTGGCCCCCCTGAGGAATTTCCTGAGCCAGAGGGTGGCCGAAAGAGCAGATGCCCACCCAGTGGCTCTGCGCCACCCGCCCAGGCCACTGCCCTGTGCCCAACCCCAGAGGGTGCGGATGACAGACCCTGACAATCATTAAACCAGCCCGGCCTGATTTCCCAGCACCAAGGCCTGGATCCCGGCCAAGTGGCACAAAATATGCAAATCACCTGGGGCCGGGAGCTCCGTCTAGAGGCCAGGAAATCCCCTCGACCAATGAGCCAGCGGCTCAGGTTACCGGGCGCCTATAAAGCCTGGGCGCGGGGCGGGGCGCCGAAGCTCCTGCTTAGGGCGCTGCGGCCAGAACCTCGGCGCGGCCTGGGAGCTCCCCTCCTGGATTTCTCCCGCCTGCTGCCCCTTAACCTGCCTGCCGGCCACACCCTCACCCGCTGCTGCTCGGTAGGACTGCAGCCGGGCCTTGGAGCCTGGGAGGGGCTGGTGGATGTGTTTGGAACCTGCCCTCCGCAGCTCTCTGCGGAGAGTCCCAGCAGGAGTGCGGGCCAGGGTGGTGTTCTGAGGGCCCAAGAGCCCCGGGACTGTCCCTGAGAGGGACAGAGTGGCCATGACTGCCGGCCCCACTCATGGGCCCAGGTGGGCTGAGGAGGGAGCCCAGCGGGAGGCCCTGTGCCCCAGCCCCTGGGTCTGAGAACCTGGAGAGGGTGCCTGAAGAGATGTTGACCTTGGCACCCCTGGGGTTACTCCTGCCCCAGGCTTGGCTGGAGCAGAACTGCCGGAGGGTAAGGGGAGGACCCTGGCCCTCACCTGCCTCGCCCTCCCTCCCCAGGTAGCCTCATGGCTGCGACCTGCGAGATCAGCAACGTTTTCAGCAACTACTTCAGTACGATGTACAGCTCCGAGGACCCCACTCTGGCCTCTGTTCCCCCTGCTGCCGCCTTGGGGGCCGACGACCTGGCACTGGCCTTGAGCAGCCCGCAGATGCCCCTGGAGGGCGCAGGTGGGTCTTGCGAGAGGATGGGGGCGTTGGGGGGAGGGGAGACATCCACCTGAGAGCCTGCTGGCGGATGGAGGTCTGGCGGGGAGGAGGGCCGGCTGTGCTGTTAGAGGCTGGGGGTTGGGGCTTGGGGGCTCCAGTTGGGGAGGTGCTGGCCAGGGCGCTGTGAGCGCGTGGGATTCCTTGCGGAACCCCTGCCGGGGCTGACCCGTCGCTGCACCGGCCCCTTGCAGAGAAGGCCAGCTGGTCAGGGGAGCAGCCCCAGCTGTGGTCCAAGGCCCAGGTCCTGGACTGGGTCAGCTACCAGGTGGAGAAGCACAAGTATGATGCCAGCACCATCGACCTGTCCCGCTGCGACATGGACGGGGCCGCACTCTGCCGCTGCGCCCCCGAGGAGCTGCGCCTCGTCTTTGGGCCCCTGGGAGACCAGCTCTACTCCCAGCTGTGGGACCTCAGTGAGTCCCCTCCTCCCTGCGGGAGGCCCTGCAGCCCAGCTCAGGGCGCAGCCTGGAGAGGCCCCGGGGGCAGGGAGGGAGCCAGTGGGCTCTGACCTCCTTCTTATCAGCTTCCAGCTTTCCTGACGAGCTCGGCTGGATCATGGAGCTGCTGGAGAAGGACAGCATGACCCTCCAGGAGCCCCTTGGGGACCAGGGCCCCTTTGGTGAGAGCCAATTCGTCGCCCCTCCCCAGCCGTCCTGCCCCAGCTCTGCCTCAGCCCCCAGCTGGAAAAGTCCCAGCACCGGCTGAACTTACCTCCTCCCCCAGAGCAGGGAAGCCCCTTTGCCCAGGAGATGCTGGAGGACTACAGACAGGCCAGCCCCTTCTACCCGGGCAGCGTGGGCGCGGGAGCCCCCTCCCCGGGCAGCTCCGAAGTCTCCACCACAGGTGAGCCCCTCCCCTGTCTGCCCCCAACCTCCCCTCCCCCAGATGCCCTGAGCCCTGCTCTCAGCACGAGAACTGGGCTTTCGGGCTGGGCAGCGGTACGGGTGGTGAGGGGCTCACTCTGACCCGTCTCCCCAGGGACAGGTACGTCTCAGAGCTCCCACGCCTCAGACTCCGGTGGAAGTGACGTGGACCTCGACGCCCCTGACACCAAGCTCTTCTCCGGAGGTGAGGGAGGGACCGCCGCGGGGGTCCAGTGCCCAGTGCCCAGGGGCTGGCCCTCCTCCCCTCTCAAGCGGGGTTTTCCTGGGGAGGGACTGTCCCCCAGTGCCTCCACCCCTCCCAATCCTGACCTTCCTTGCCCCCCACAGATGGCTTACCTGACTGCAAGAAGGGGGACCTTAAGCATGGGAAGCGGAAACGGGGCCGGCCCCGAAAGCTGAGCAAAGAGTCCCGGGAGTGCGTGGAGAGCAAGAAGAACAAGCACGGTAAGCGGGGAGCCTCCCCCACCGGCCCTGCCCGCAGGCCTCGGGCCTCGGGCCGCAGCCACCACAGCCTGCGGCGGGTCCCCGCGGCTGCTTCCTGTGCTTGTGCACTCGTGGCCCCTTTGCTCCTTGGTTGGGGCTGTTCTTCCTGGAAGCTGCACCCCGGCCCCCAGCCTGGGCCAGCTCTGTGGTCCGTGGCCTGCGCCCTCCCCACTTTGCTGCTGGGCTTGCTTCCAACCACGGCCTCCGACCGTGGGCCCCTCAGGGCGGTGCGGTGTTTCAGCCCCTCGCGTCCCAGCCAAGTGTTCGCTCCACATTTGAGTGCGTTAAGCCTCTGTGCTGTGTAGACGTGGTGCTGCCCAGTGGGGGAGGGGAGGAGAGAGGCGGCCTTCCGCGGGCAGCGTGCTGGGCTGGGCTGGGCTGGGCAGGGCCGGGGCTGTGGGGTGCGAGGGTGCCCTGGGCCGCTGACTGATGGAGCCTGGCCTGGCAGCCCCCAGGGGCACTCACCTCTGGGAGTTCATCCGAGACATCCTCATCCACCCCGAGCTCAATGAGGGCCTCATGAAGTGGGAGAACCGGCAGGAGGGTGTCTTCAAGTTCCTGCGCTCGGAGGCCGTGGCCCAGCTGTGGGGCCAGAAGAAAAAGAACAGCAGCATGACCTACGAGAAGCTGAGCAGGGCCATGAGGTGAGCGCCCCGCGGGCCAGCCCCACTCCGCCCACGTGGGGAGTCCGGGCTCCGCCTGCCCGAGGCTGGAGTGAGAACCTGGGAGGCAGCCGGCCGGCCCACGGCACATGCTGGGCCTGGCCTGACGACATCTCTTTGTATCGTCTGCAAGGCTCGTGCTGAGCGAGGCACCCGGTGGTGAATGGGCATCAGCCCGGATGCACCCCAGACCCGCCTCTTCTCCCAAAGCAGCTGAGGTGCTTGTCTTGGGACCTCAGCTTCCCCCCAGATCAACCTAGCTAAGGCCGCTTCCAGCCCTCACGTCTGTGGTTTCGTGGCAAGCCCTAGGACAGAGCCATGAGACACAGAAGCCAGGCAGGGCTGGGGGTGCTCTGGACGCAAGTCTAGGTGGACGCTCCTCGCAGTTTCAGCAAGTGGGCCAGGCTGGGGCGTGGTGGGGCCGGTCACCTGCGGAGCCCCGGGCACCTCTGACCACCCCTCCCCCTCAGGTACTACTACAAACGGGAGATCCTGGAGCGGGTGGACGGCCGGCGGCTCGTCTACAAGTTTGGCAAGAACTCCAGCGGCTGGAAGGAGGGGGAGGTGGCCGGGCGTCGGAACTGAGGCTCAGACCAGCCCTGGACCAAAGGCTCAGACTTGAGGCTGCAGCTCCTCCGGGGAGGCTGCCAGGCCGCCATTTGGGCGCGTGCCTTGCGCTGAGGAGAGACGTGGAGGTCCTGGCCTCCGGGCTGGCGGCCTCGCCCCTGTCCTCCTCTTGGAATCACAAGCCTGGGGTGTGAAGTGCGCTGAGCGAGCACCGACTGAAGCTGCGCCTGCGGCTCCTGCTGTCCGGGCTTGGCAGGCCCCTCCGGACGCCGCGCCGGCGGAGGACCGTCCCTCCTGCAGGGCTGCACCCGGCCGAGGAGGCCGGGGCCCTGGGGGCTCTGGGAGGGGCCCCTCTCTCTGGACTGGCTTTCTCCTCCCTGCTCAGTGCTCGGACTCCGCAGGCAGGGGTCAGAGCACTCCCTAATTTATGTGCTGTAAATACGGCAGATGTACACAGAGGTCTATTTTTTC